GGGGGGGGGGGGGCTCTATGGACTGGGCTTGTGGTGGGATCAGGGATGATGATTGTTGGGCCTCTTTAATTACCCATAGATAAACATAGAGTAGTATTGGACATTTGATAACTCATCTTTCACCTAACATTTTTTTTTATTTAGAAAATAACATTGTTAAAAGTTAAATTTTAATAAAAGACTTAAATAATTTAATGGGATAATTTTTTTATTAAAAATAAAAAATTTTAAATTTGAGTAACATGATATATAGGTAGAAAGGAATAACAGATAAAAAAGAGTTATCTCTCATTGTATAATCAATATAAAAAAAAAAATTTAATTTTTAAATTTTCATCACAATGTTGGTTGGCTTCCCTCCAACTTTGATCTCTGGGCCTGATGATTCTTTCCGAAAAAAGGCATTTGAGGAAGAGCATTCCGGCCAATTAGGGTGTAGTGTTTGCCGAGTGCAGTTAGTAACGCTCTTCGAGAACGCATGGCAGCCCATGTCGGGTTGCAATGTGTAGTAAAAATTTTGGTTTATATTAAAGTTCAAATCTTTTATAGAGACAATTGTAATATTTATCTCATTTTTTCCAAATTCACCTTTTATATAATATATATATAAAGAAGTAATGCTCTTTGAGAGAAATTAAAGCTTGTTATATGTACCGCAAAAAAAAAAAAGTTTGATCCTCTTATAATTCTATAAAAATATTAAATTATATAGAAATTAATTAAAAAATATTGGAAATTGATAAAAAAAAATTATGTCAAAAACTAAAAAACGTGTAAGCTTCAATTCTACTCAACGTGGGATGTAGATTGTATGCCTCGTATCATTAGGAAACTTTGAGTTTCTGCATTTAAATAGAATTTCAGTTAAACGTACAGTCTCACATGCCTACAGTAGGTTTGGGATGAGAGAAACACTAACAAGAAACGTAAACTTCTTGCTGCAAAAGATACTAACTCTAGAACGAAACCGTTTCTGTGGCTGACCTCAGCGTGCCTCATTCTAGGTTCTGTTTTTGTCCTCCAATTTCATCTTTGCTTTGGTTTGTTTACTTTCTAAAATGCAGTGTGAATTGCCAACCGTGACTGTGACGCAATTGGTTGGCCCTCAGGTTTAGGGTTTAGGTGAGGCGAAAGTCAGGGCTTCGAACTTTGCCACCGTCGTGAACTCTACCAACTTGTGACCTAATGATCGCACGTCTGAAATGAGGGGTGAAATGTTCACTTACTTGAAAAAATTCCAGCTCTAACAAACTAACTCTATTAACTTCCTAACCATTTACCTGATCAAAAAAAAAAATGCAGTTAAATATAAAAAAGATTAATTTATATATTATTAATTGATTTTTAATTAAATATAAATCTTATATTAAAATTTACATACATAATTTTTACATAATATTTAAATTATACATATAATTTTCACATAATATATATTAAAACCAATCAGAACTTAAGTTTTATCTTGAAAAGCTTTCGTTTGCACAATTTTTACAAAAACATGATACAACGGGCTTCAATTATCATCCAAATTTTCACACTTTACATTTTATCTTTTTGTTCTTGTTGCTTCAGTTGATATGAATTAGGAGGTCGTAGCATACATTGATTTAGCAAGCTTACCATGCTTTAGCTGGGAAAAATAAAAATAAAAGTGGCTCCCAATAATAAAAGTAAAAAAAATGAATTTAAATAATAAAAGTAAAAAATTATGATTTTAAATCATAAACACACAGTGAATGGTGGAATGGATGGCATGTCTTTGATCAAATTAATCTGGTGCATGCAAGTTGGGTGTGTGAGAGAGACATAGAACAACCATTTAACAAAGTAAGTATGACTAATATTTTTTTATAAGTAGGAATTTATTTATGTACAAATCTTACGTATTAATATAAAAGTTTAATTATTTATTTCTCTACTTTTAATTATTGAGATTTATTTATATTTATTAAAAATGATTATTTTTTATTTAAAAAATTATAATAAAATTCAATTATTAAAAATAAATAAATGAATGGTTGAAATGTTATGTAAATATAAAGTGTAAAATATGTATGTAAATAAATCCTTTCTTTTTTCTTATACTTATTTTAGACTGCTGATTTTCAAATCTTAAGGCTAACACTTTAAATTTTCTTAAGCAGAGGAAAAAAAGATGAGAATGACCAAGAAAAGGGAGGAGAAAAAAGGATCATATGATGGGGATGACATGATTTAGTTACTGAAAGGAAGTGATCAATGCCTAAAGCTAAGGCATGATGAGTGGGATAACTGAAACAACGGTTTTTCCTTTGCTATCCAATCCAACTTCACATGAAGCCATGCTAACATAGGATTAGGGCCTATAATTCCAAAGAATTTGCCATGTGATTGGCTGTTTTTTTATGCTTGTCAAACTAAACTTTTCGTCTATTCTCCTGGCTAAACAGTGATTAGTGATTAAAGTCTACGTAAAAACATGTTTTCTAGGCTAGTTTTAGATGAAATGAATCCAGAAATCACGTTTGGCTACTGTTCAGGTGCAGAAATTTTCTGCATGTCTATTTTCCACTGCTTTTTAAGCTATATTTCCGGAGTAGAATACAACAGATTTGAGTTTCTGAGTCATGCATGTTACCTTTTTTACAAGGTCAAGGTCCCAAATCAATTTACAGAACATGTCAGAGACCCACCTCTTCAATCTTGATTGAAGGCACAGCATTACGCCAGGTCTAGAAAACCCAAACAAATTACTTCCTCATGGCCTCATCTGAAAAAAGAAGGATACTTGTCAAGGTTCTTCATGGCCGGATCCATGACAGATTAAACCATGCTGCTGGTTAGGGTTTTTCCTTTATAGTCATTTGAAACAAAAAGCAAATTTAGATGACATTCTAACAAGATATATTTTCCCGTATTTCAGCATGTTAACCTTAGGATAAGCATGCCTGAACAAAAACTGGATGAAAAAAAGAACTGCAAACTTAAGCTCGTAAGCCAAGCTTTAATATATATATATATATATATATATATGTGTGAAAAATAATTAATACATCATTCCACTGGACACATCTTTTGACATTCACCTAATCCAACCATTAAAATATAATATAATTATAATCAATTTAATCAATTCCTACATCATATGCATGATAAACAAGAAAAAAATAATTTGATAATGAGTGTATTGAATTAGATAATATATCAATCAGTGTCATAGATGTATATGTATATATAGATGCGTTTGATAGCAAGATCAATGAAAATGTTTTGTATCAAGTTATGAACAACAGAACACGTTAAAATTATTTAGTTATTTCACTGTGTTGAACATCTTACTAAGCGGGTCTTGCAAGTTTCCTTTTATCACGCCTGTAGACTCATTCAGTCATCTAACTAACAGTGGCTTAATTAATTAAGAGAAACAACAATCAATTAACTAGAAGGGGAAACGTGAAATAAGAAAAAAGATTAGAGCTGAAAATGAAAGGTAACAATCCAAGCGTTGTTCCCATCTAACCATATAGCTCATGTGTGTATAGTACCATCCCCCATGGACTTTTAATCTGCCTATATATATCTCAACCCATTCATTTGTTAATTATCTCCCTCACAGAGAAAATCTACTTGAGTAGTCTAAATTCTTAACCTCTTTGCATCTTTGTTCAAAATACCTTTAAATTCTCTCTCTGTTCAGAAGTACTCCCTCGATGAGAATCTGCAAGATTACAAACCTTACCTTCCTCATTTTTATTACCTTACTGGTCAGGTTTTCAATCTTTGGAAGCTGTTCTAGGGATGGGAAGCATTGGAGGCAAGGCAGAGCAGCTTCCCTCTCTGTGTTTGAGGTGAAGGAAAAAGGCCATGGTGGTAGCAGCAGCCATCCACGCCGCCAAATGGCAACAAAACAAGTGCTGGACTCTGCCACCTTTAATATTATGGATTTTGGCGCCAAAGGTGATGGGCATACAGATGACACAAAGGTGAATTCATGAAGCACAAATAATATTCTGTTTATGGGAAGCCTAGTACTTTTCAACATTAATCTTATTGCAATGGAGCCATTTTCTTTTTACTCCTGCAAACATAACTAAAACTTATATAACAAACTAGCTGGGCTGAAATACTCCCATATTGCGAACCAGGCATTCGAAGCAGCTTGGACAGCAGCTTGTAAAGTAGAGTCATCAACAGTGATGGTTCCATCTGGCTCTGTATTTCTTGTTGGACCCATATCCTTCTCAGGCCCCACATGCCAAGCAAACATCATATTTCAGGTAAATTTGCCAATTTCACATTTTTTTACTTCTTCATTTTTGCAGTTGAGAGAAAATGGGAGTTTTGGAAATACTTTACCTCATTTTCTGGGACTAATGTTTGTCAACTGCCATGCAGATAGATGGCAAGATCATGGCTGCTACAAGTTCTGATAATTGGAAATCGGATCTCTTGCAATGGATTGAATTTACACAACTAAAAGGCATTACCATCAGTGGCAAAGGAACTATTGATGGTCAGGGCTCAATCTGGTGGAATACCTCACCCACATATGATCCAACAGCCAAGGATTCAACTAGCATCTCTGATGATTCAGTAATTGCCCAGGCTTCAAATAATTTACAAATTTAACCATTGTGCTTCCCCTTCCACCAAGACTAATCCTTCCACTCTGATCCTTTCCAGGAGATAAGCACTGGGCCTAGGTCAAAGAATTCAGGCACCAAACCAACGGTGATTTCCATATCTGAAACCAATTTGGCAATCTTATAATGATATGTTGAATGAAGAATATAATATATGAGCTTTTATATCCTCTGGTGTGCAGGCACTCAGGTTCTATGGAAGCACTGATGTAACAGTTACTGGCATAACCATACAGAACAGCCCCCAGACCCACCTCAAGTTTG